TTAAAATGATTGTTGCTCTTGTTGTTGGTGTTGCGGTTGTTGTTGTTGGTGGTGGTGGTGCTTTGGTGTTGGTATTGGTATTGTTGTTGCTGCTGCTGTTGTAAAAAATGGCGGACAACAACGCACGCGCGATTTTCGTATCCCCTAAAACAAGGGAGGGAAGGGAGGAGGGAAGGGGCAAAGGGGAGGGAGAAGGATGGAGCACGAGAGTCAGTCAGTCCTGCATGAATCGCGAGGAAGTCTTGAACGATACCACGATTCCAAGTTAATCCCGCAGAAGCCCAGAGCCGAGCGACAGCGAAACTCTTGAGTGCCAGGGGCGCGGCGCATGAATAGATGGCGAGGAATTCCCGCGCAAGAGCGCGATTCCTTCATGAATTGTAAGGACGTCCCGCGCGAGAGCGCGACATTGAATACACTGTGAGGAAGTATCAGGCGGGAGCCGTTGTTGTTGTAGTTCGGGTGCCAGGACCAGTCAGAGGCCCAAGGCTCTTGCGCATTAAAAAATGACCCAGGCGACGTACCCAACCGCTGCGCAATGCGGGGCATGAGTAACTTGGGCGACTTCATAAAAGGGGGTGATTAAGAGACGTGGATATGTATTTCTGCGACCAGCATTTGGGAGGTCCCATTTGACTCCGCCGCGGGGACCCACTATGCTGGCCCCCATTAGCAGGCTTCGGAAATGGCGACAGTTTAACAGATCGCTGCCCACCAGGGACGGCGAGGTCCCATTTGACTCTGCGTCGGACGTCACTGTGCTGGACCCCCCAGCAGGCCTCGGAAGTGGCGACAGTTTCGCAGATCGCTGCCCACTAGGGATGGCGAGGTCCCATTTGATTTTGCGTAGGACGTCACTGTGCTGGACCCCGCAGCAGGCTTCGAAAGTGGCGACGGTTTCACAGATCGCTACCCACCAGGGATGGCGAGGTCCCATTTGACTCTGCGTAGGACGTCATTGCGCTGGACCCTCCACCAGGCCTCGGAAGTGGCGACAGTTTCACAGATCGTTACCCACCAGGGATGGCGAGGTCCCATTTGACCTTGGGTAGGACGCCACTGTGCTGGACCCCCCAGCAGGCCTCTAAAGTGGCGACAGTTTCACAGATAGTACCCCCCCCCCGGGATGGCGAGGTCCCATTTGAATTTGCGTAGGACGTCACTGTGCTGGAACCCCCAGCAGCCTTCGAAAGTGGCGACAGCTTCACAGATCGCCTCCTCCCCCCCCACCCGAGGCAAGACAGGAGGAGGCAGGAGGGAGGCGGGAGGAAGAGGACGCGGCCTCATTCCCCTTATCCAAAACGAATACCCAACCAAGGAGGGTTGGGAAAAAACTTGATGCAGGTCCGCGGGCCCCAGGAGGGACATTCTGATTGAAAACACCATGAGCACCGAGGGGGGGGGGCCAACAGTAATTATGTATCTGAAATCGGAATGCAAGAACCAGTTTACAGTAAGGCTGTTCGCGTTCACGTGGTCGCGTGTCATTGAACGGGTATATACCAAAACCTTCGATACCAGTCGTTGTCGTTTTTGGTCGTGCCACCTGCGAGGGGTATATATGATTTCCCTGCCGCGTGTAATTGTCGAAGCCTCTGTTACATACAAACAACAAAAAACAACAAAAAAACAACAACAATAAACAACAAAAACAACAACAAAAACGAACGAATGTTAAAGGGAGAGAGCGAGGAGAAAAGGACTAGAGGAAGTAAAAGGAAAGGAAACGGAGCAAGAGGGAGGGAGAGAGAAGATGGAGGACGAGAGGGGCTTGCAAGAGGGATCCGCAAGAGCAGGTGACAAGGAAGTCTCAGGCGAGAGCGGGACTCCTGAGAACAATGCTTAGGAGGTCCGAAACGACAGCGCCGTTTCAGAACGCCGAGAGAGCGATTCGCGAATAGCCTGTAAGGCATTCGGTATCAGCGCGATTCCGTTATAAAGTGCAAGGAAGTCTTTAGCGTAGACCCGAGGTTCTTATGAAGCGTAAGGAAGTATCATGCGGGAGGCCTTGTTGTTGGTGGTGCTGTAAACTGGGGGCCAATAACCCAGTCTGAGCCTCAACATTTCCTTTTGCACAAGATGCGAACCCTGGGAAAGAGGCATTTCAATCGAATCGCACATATGTTACCGCGCAGGGGGGAACAACAATCATTATTTTCAGAAATGAGAACTCCACAGCAACAACAACAATCAGTTGATATTGATCGTTCCTGTTTGCCCGCGTGTCATTCAACATGTCTGTCCCAAACCCTCGGTACCCGCCCTCTCAATCTTTGATCAGACTCTCCTTGGGGGTATGTCTTCTTTCCCTGCCACGTGTATTTAGCGCAGCCCCTGAAACAAGGGAAGAAAGGGAGGGAGGAAGGGACAATGAGGCAGGGGAGAAGCATGGAGCACGAGAGAAATGATCAGGAGGGGGGTTAGGGGCAATCAAGCCAGGGAGAATGACTGAAAACAAATATTATCTCAGGGTTTAGATGATGTGCTTTCTGTGTTCAAAGACTGTTCTAGTATTGAGAATTAGTTTCAAGGCCCGCCGTGTGAGATATCACCAGGGAAGGTTGGCAGATTGGTATGGTTGGTTGGCAGGTTGGTTGGTTGGTTGGTAAGCAGGTTGGTTGGTTGGCAGGTTGGTTGATTTGTTGATTGGTTGGATGGTCGATTGGTTGGTTGGTTGACCGGTTGGTTGGTTGGCTAGTTGGTTGGTTGTTTGTTTGGTTTTGATCGGTTGGTTTGTTGATTGGTTGGTGGGTGGGTTGGTTGATTGGTTGGTTGTTTGGCTGGTTGGCTGGTTGGGCGGTCGGTTGGCTGGTTGGTCGGTTGGTTGGACCCGTTTGCAGATTTGTCCGAGGTAGCGCAAGGGAGCAAAACACATACATGTCTTCGCTGCGACGCAGGAGCGGCAAACTGACTATCACATCATATCCGTCACGCGACAAAGCCAGCGAGCAGAACAAATTCTACCCCAATCCGCCGCCGCGCGGCAACGCAGGGGGGGCGAAACACACATTCCATCCCAGTCGCCGCGTAACAGCGTAGATGGGCAAAACACATGCAAATCTACGCTGTACGTCACGTGGCAACGCAAAGATACTTACAACATTGTGTTAGTTTATATCTCTTACATGGCAACGCAGGGGAGCGGGAAAAGGGAAGTCCACTCTGGCACGCAATATCCGTCACGTGGCAACCCAGGGTGAGGAGGGGTGGCAGAAATATATAATTCGAATAGATGCGGCACGCACCAACCCAGGAGGGCGAAAACGCATTATCCCACTTCCTCGTCGCTTGGCAACACAAAGGCGCTGAGAATATACAATATGTTATATTAGTCACGTGGCAGTGCAGGGGGGCAGAAACCAACTATTCCACTGCTCGCCCCTTGGCAATCCATAGGGGCGAAACAAATTCACATCTGCTCGATCCGTCACATTGCAAGGCAGAGGTGCGGCACACATACATATCCGTTCGATCCGTCACGTGGCAGCACACAGAGGGCGAGAACAGATCATTCTAGTTACTCTACTTCGTCACGCGGCAATGCAGGGCAGCGGAAAATACGATTCCATTCTGCCCGCCACGTGGCATTGCAGAGGGGGCGAGACGAGCTTGTTCTGTCTGTCGCGAGGCAAAGCAGTGGGGGCGGAAACACATTGTTCTGTACTTACTCGGCACGTGGCAGCGCAGGGTGGGCGAAAGGGAGGGGGGGGGGGGGCAAACCAGCAAGTTAGTTGGTCGGTTGATTGGTAGGTGGTCCCGTTTGCTTGTTTTCCTTGCTGCTGCATGGGATAGGGGGCATCCAACACATTTTTCATGGGAAGTAAGAGAGTTTCTGAGCAGACCGCTGCGCTCGTAGAAGACCCCCCTTTGCCAACCCCCTTCTACGCTCTTGCGCACCATGACTGGTTACCACCCTACTCTTCATGTCAAAGGCAACGCCAGAGGGGATTGGCACAGAGATGGACGCATCGACCCCCAATCGCCCATTCTTCGCTGATCGGAGCCTGAGCGCCCCAGCCTGCCGAGGACCTTCCAGTGCCCACTGCTTCCCTCGAGCGAGGTTGGTTCTCATCGGAGAGCAGCAAGACTCAAGGCGAGAGCTGGCGTCCACCAGCACATTCCGGCGCACGCCTCATCCGAATCGGAGAGTGGGAGGCGGGAATAAATTTCCATCACCTTAGAATAACCAAATTCGTAAGCTCATTAAATGATTCTCAAACCGCCCAATAAATTGGAATGACGTTTCTCCTTGTCCTTGAAGTATAAGTTGTTTTACCCTTGTACCCACGTGGAAAACCAGCGGCAAAATCAGACGGACGGGCCGGGCGGGCGGACCCTGACGGGCGGGTCGGGTGGGCGGGCCCAGACGGCCGGGTCGAGCGGGCGGGTCGTTGAAGCGTCAATTTGAAATGATTCTCCAAGACGTCATCGACAGCGCGATTCCCAAGTAAATTGCGGGGAAAGTCACAACGAGAGCGTGGTTCCTGAGTGTCGAGGGCGCGGCGTCTCAATAAATTGTAAGGAGCTCCAGCGCGAGAGCGCGATTCCTGGACAAGTTGTGAGGAAATGTCAGGCGAGAGCGCGCTTTTGGATATATTGTGAGGAAGAATCAGGCGGGAGCCGCTGTTGTTGGAAACCGGGGGCCAGTTGCACAGTCTGAGCCTCAAGATTTTCCATGGTGAAAAACAGGGAGGGTGCGGCCCCTAAAGAGGAGGAGGAGAAGGAGGAGGAGGAGGAGGAGGAGGGAGGAGGAGGAGGAGGAGGAGGAGGAGCAGGAGGAGGAGGAGGAGAGAAAAGGAAAAGGCAAAGAGCGACGGAAGGAGGAGGAAACGAGAAAGGAGGGGGGCAGGAGGGAGGAAGGAGAGGAGGATCGAGGGCGAGGAAGACTGGGCAGGAAGGGGCGGAGAGAGGAGCAGTGCGTTGGGCAAGCGGGCCAGGACGGGCGGGCCGGGCGAAAACATCGAACAGAACACACGCACGACCGCAGGAACGCCCTCTTCATGGGCGAGCTCGCGCCAGCGCGAAAGGCGGCGGGCTGGCGCCTGGACCGCATCCTGTTCGGAGGCCCCGGCGACCACGCGCACTCGTCGAGGACCGGGCTCGGGGCCGGCGAGGGACCGGGCGAGGAAGATCGCAGCTTCAAAGAATCGATGGGAGCAATTCGGGTCCGTTCTTGACCCTTCGGGAGGAGTCTCGTCGCCGCGGCTGGATCCTGCACGAGGTTCTAGCCAGAAGCCAGGAGGCACCCCAGGACGGGTCTGGGGGGCGATTTCTCTGGCTCCCCCCAGGCGGGGGTAACGAGCGGGAAAAAGCGCCTAGGAGGACGTTGCTTGGAATCCACCTCCCTTGGCACTGATCCCCCCTTGTGCCGACCATTTCCCGTCAATGACAGCAACAGACAAGTAGTAATTATGTCGGGTCGGGCGACGGGGGGGGGACGAAATCTGCTGCACGCAGCTGGTATCGGGGCAGAGACCAGCTGCATGAAGCAGATTTCCAACGCTTCCGTCGATGCATTGGTCCCTCCCGCGCCAGGAGGCGCAGGGAGAACCTGTTACCTGAACTGATACGCCAACCCCCTCTTCGTCCGACCCGACTGTCCCTTTATCCCCCGGCGCCCAGAGCGCGTCTGTTGGTCTCGCCTGCGCCGGTCCAGGTCAGGTTTTCCCCCGATGCGCATGCGCGTTTGGCCGTACTCATTGTGACCATTGTGATTAGGTATCGCCGCGCCTGGAGCGCAAGCTTCGCTGTCACCGTGTCTCGCCTCGTCGCGACTCGCCGCTCGATGAATTGTGCAACACGGTCAAGACATTGAAATATGGAGTAGCTCGGGTTTGGAGGAAACTCGCCGTTCCCCAGATCCTTCTATGGTTGTTCTTCTGGCGCTCCTCGTGCACCCACCTGCGTCTGGGGCCTGAAAGGGGCGTCGTCATTATTTAGCGTTCCTTGTGGTAGCAGCTTGACTGCAGGTGCGATGGATTGCGCGCCCTTGGGCAGGATCTTCCACACCAGCGACAGCGACAGCAGCCAAGACCCGTCAAGCGCAAAGCGACGATTGGTGGGAGACGGGGGGGCGGCACTGCTTGTGCTAGGCCATGTGGGCAGGAGAGGCAGCCAGCGAAGCCCCCTCAGGAGGATGTCCAAGCTCTCCTCCTGGCCTTTTGCGTCTCTCTTGCCTCTTGCAAGCCGTCCGCTGTTTTCGCTGCCTGGCCTTCGCGCCTTCCTCCATTGGCGTGTGCGCTCTTGGATACATATCGTGTGGCGTTCCCGGAATTCCCAGCGGTTTCAGTCTTACGTCGTGGATTGGTTTACGCGATACAGTAGGCATAAGAAATATGAAAGATCATTGCCATCAGGTCGCCCACGGAAATTCCGGTTCTTCGACGTCCCCAGACACCCGTTGGAGTTTTGAGGGCGTTCTGCGAGGTCCAAGGTCGACAGATCAATGCGCCCCTTATATCGAAGACGCATACGGCGAATCACCACCGGCCCCTGCCTTTTGGAAGAGCCTATGTGGCCGAATTTTGCGGCCAAAGCTCGGCCAAGCTATTGGACTACGTGTTCCCCCACCTTTTGTGGAATTTTTTCGGAGAACACATGGGGGAGAAAGAAGTGGAGGAAAGCGAGGAAAGCCACGACCGCTACGTGTCAGTGGCAATGCGCCTGGAGGGGCCACGCTGAACTAGACACCACTTATTGTTCACCTCTTACTTCCATACCATACCCGCGAGCAGCAGCACGAGTACTGTTAAGAGTCGCCGCGACGCGTGAACTCCTCGACCACGACTCCCAATACCAGCTCGACTCAGCTCGTCAACTCCTTGCAGAGCACCACAACGCTCAACAACTCAACAACAACCACTACGCCCACTTCACGTTCCAGTAATGGCGACATCATGGGGGACAGCGAGTGGATCGGGAGCCGCGCCAGCGCCCTGCAGGTCGACACCGAGCCCCCCACGAAGCAGAGGAGCCACACCACGAGGTATTACACCAGCGATCGGAGCAGGCCTTGAACGCTGGAGGAATTATAACTGGATGGACCAATGAGCCAAGAACCACCCCGACACATACTGGAACCAGATCCACGGCGACAAGGGCAACAATCACAGTGGCAAGGGAAACGCCATCAAGAACGACTACGAGACCGACAGCCAGAGCCAGAAGGGCAATAGCAAGACCCACAAAGGCAAGGGCAAGGCAAAGCCCAACCCGAAGAGGAAAAGACACTCAGGAAGAAGGACACACATCTGGACTGCAATGACCCCACAACCAACACCATCAGTCATGCCGATGAGGAAGGTGCACGCCACCAGGACACATGACCGGGAGACGCCACCAAACGACCCCAAGTTGAGAGAAGATTGGAAGAACACCAAATATATGGAGCAGGCGCGTGCGGCAACATCTATCGCGAAAAACAGCGCAGCTGCCTTGCCCACGACCGACGCAGTCACGCAGATCGCAGTCAACAAAGCCATGATCCCCAACAGCATGCCCTTAAGTCTACAGGCAAGGGAGACCGACAACAACAAGAGGACCATGGAGGACTTCTACGATCATACCAATGCCTCCGGGCCAGGGTGCAGATATTACGATATACGCGAAGGAGTTGGAGAATAATCTTAACGAGCTCAACGTCTTGCAGCGGGACATTGACAACGCCAGGGTCAATAACCACAGCGAAACAAGAGCTGCCGACGATGAAGCTGACAAGCTACAGAAGGTCACACCGCCAATGAGCACGCCTACACCAGCACCACGGAGACAAACACGGGCTGGAGAAACCATCGAAAGACAAGACATCGGCACGCTGTTCCTGACGCTCGAGGAGGACAACCAGTGCGTGGCAACAGACATCAAACAGACCAAAGAAAACGCCACCGACGAAGGCTACGGCCACCGTAAGCACCGGGGAGAATCGGAAGAAGCAGCTCATGAACACACCGAAAAACAACATAGCGAAGCAGCAAGGGCCAAGCACTACAACACGGAACTCATGAACAAGACCCACAATTCCAAACTCACAACCAAGAAGGTGGTTGCGCACCAGGAGTTTCAACAAGCAAGAAGCAGATCAGCCCTCAATTGGACAGAGGAGGAAGTTCAGGCTGCCAGTGCATCCCCAAGACCAACCACGCCCGCGAGCTGGTTGCCCTGCTGCAAAGGGAGCCCAGAGAGGCACAGCAAGGGCCCACCGACTACAACAAAAAACGCGCCCTCATGGAGCAAGAACTACTTGAAGAGCGAAGAAGCACAGCAGGAAGCAAAATCAAGAAGTACCAACCTGGTGAACCAACGAAAGGGCAGGGAGGACAGGGACACATGGAAGCAATGATATGTGGCGCACGTGATGCACTACAACCTTGAGTCTACGACATCGAGCGCAAGGTCCGAAGATGGGGCGCAGAGCAGGCACAGCAACAAGAGGGCCCCCTACAGAATGTGCTGACCGAGATGAGCGCGCGCGCGCAGCAGGCGCGCAAGTTTGATGAGGTCTTACAAGCGGCTCAGGATTCGCACGAGGGTTTCGTGAAGAACTTGCGGGGCGCGGGCGTCGTCGATTTCTCGATTCAGGTTGAAGGCCACATCGCTCATGGTCGTCGACGACGAAGGCGCTGCCCTTCGCGCGGCCATAGACTGCCGCGGTACAATCCGAAGATCCAGGGCGCCCCCTCGGACGACGATCGCGACGGGGGCGGAGCTCTTTCGTCTGAATGTCCCCCGCGGCCAGGCGTTGCATGGAGCCCTGTCCGACGTCGGCAACTGTTTCTACTGGCTCGCGCTGCCGAACTGGCTCCGCCGCCGCCAATGAGCACTGCTGCAGCGGAGTCTCCAGGCGCTCTTCCTGACGACGCACGTCCTCGAGCTGGGCCCCCTGGACAGGTCTGCCCTGCCACGCGCGCGCCCGCTGGGTCGGTCTTGAATTCTCGGGTTCGCTCAGAGGGCTCGCTCGCATCTGGTTCTTTCGGGCGCTCGTCTGGGATCGGGTCGCATTCTGGAAGGAGGTGCTCACGCCCCCGACCTGGCGCCCAGGGAACCTGCGCCCCCCCCCCCCCCCCCTACTGCGACAACCTAATGGTCATGGGCATTGGCAAGGACTCCTCGAGCGCCTCGAGGACCCTCGCTGTGGATCAGTTGAGACGCGTGGACTTTCAGTTACATGGGGAGGTTGAGGTTGCGAGCCTGTTAGAGTCCCTTGGATATTTGGTTGATGGCAAACGCGGCGGAGTTTCGCCGATCCCCCATCGCTTCGAAAAAAAGCAGCGGGGGCCTTTGCCCACCTCAGGAGAAGACCACGCGTTGCAGGTTGGCAGATCAGTGAGGCCCTGGGCTACGTCATTACGATATCCCCCCTCACCCGCCCCTCGCTCTCGCTGCCCATTGCCTCGCATTAGCTCATGCGCGAGAGCTGGGGCCGCAAAAGACGTGTCTGGCTGTCCGCGGCCCACGAGTGCAAGTGGACATCGCCGGCGTTGCCTCGCGCTTGGGCGGCCCTCGGGGCGCCGTGGTCAGCGCGGGGATAAGTAACAGGCGCGTCTCTATCCGGCACGCAGTGGGCAAGTCTCTGGAACGCCACCGACGTCGCGGAGGCCAGGGGCGCCAGGGAAATATTCAGATATCGGCGCGCGACACTGCCTGCTGCGCCTCGCCGAGCCGCCCCCGGCATCTTCGACCCGTTCCAGGACCTGGAGATTGTCGAGCCGATCGTCGACCCAAACGAGCCCTCGCCTCACGAGGCTAATTTCCGATTCAAAGAGATGCCCGATGGCCTCTCGCAGGACCCCACGTGGATAACCAGCTATGCTGCGCCGTTCGCCATCAGGGATGGCATTCGGGACCCGCAGTCGAAGGCTACGGAATCTGCGATGATGCACACCTCGCAGAGCTCCAGTGCGCTTCGCCCCCCCCCCCCCACCTCCACCTCGGGGATAATCAGGGCAACGTCTCGGTTCAGGAGAATGGCCGCATGGGGCACTTCACTCGGCTGGTTTGTTGCAGGGGGATCTGCGCCCTGGAACTGGCCACCTCGTCGCGGCCGCACCACCGCTGGACCCCCTCCCGAGAGAAATCCCGCAGAGAAGAGGGCCTCGTGTCTGGGGGCGCCATGGGCACAAGCGCGGCGAGGGGCCACGAGCCCCTGGGCGCGCCCCTCCCGCTTCGACTACAACCGCGAGCGCATCCAGTTTTTGCCTTCAGACCACCGCCTGGGCTTCCAGAACCCGACTCATGTCCACCCAGTGTTGCGCGTCGCTTGCGGCCCGACAGGAGCTGCCCCTCGGCCTGCAAGGCCGGCGAGGGCCAGACAGGCACGCGCGTCGGGCGCCAGGGGGAGGGGGCGCATGGCCAGGGGGGCCCCGGCAAGGACGCCCGCGCCATGCTCCGACGCGAGCTGGCGGGCTCGATGGGCACCCGAGCCCCGCGGAGCTCGGGGCGCAGACCTTCCTGGAAGCGAACGCCGTCTCGGAGAGGACACGCGCGACGCGCGTCAGGAGGGCGAGCGACTTCGAGGCCGGGGCGGCATGGTTTCCCCGCTGTCCTCGGCGAAGCTCGCAGACGGTGCCATGGTCGATGATCTTTACCAGCAGTGGCTCGAGGGCGTCGACATCGGGGAGGCAGCGGGTCCGCGCGCGGCTCGGGCCAAGCTTCGACCATCGTTTTCGAAGGAGGGGCCCGACAAGCTGGCGCGCACAATGAAGGCGCGCACAATGTTCTCGGCGTACTTGAGGCCCGCGGAGGTCCGACTCGCCGCAGATCAACGACGCGCTGACCCCGACGCCGGGCAGCCATTTCTACGCGATCCACCTTGACCGCGCGGAGCGGGGGGCCGTTGGACTCGTCGGCCCCCCCACCCGTTCCTCGGACATTTTCTGGTCGCGGATTGGGCCGCGGCTGTAGGGCCAGCTCTGTGCGGAATTTCAACGAGAGCTTCAATTTGGCAAGCAGAACAGCTGGCCCGTCAGCGATTAAGCCCGACCTGCACCAGCTGCGGCACGGCGGCACCTCACGCGCCACCCTCAACCGACTGAGGAGAAAAAGCCGAGGTGAAGGACAGGGGCCGCTGGAGGGACGACCGCCCCGCTCGCGGGGCGCTGCAGCACTGGGAGAAGCTCGTCTTAGAGGCCAGCCTGACCAACCAGCCTGACCAACCTGGAGGCCAGGACCCGATCAAGCACGCCGCAGCCCACCCGCCACGCGCACCCCACAAGGGCCAGAAGTTCGTGGAGCTCAGTAGCGGCGAGGCCAGCTTTCCCGAGGCAGTTGCCTCACAAGGGGTGGAAGCGGAAGCTAGGGAAGCAATGGATGGCGTTGGAGCCGATATCCTGCAGCCTCGCAGCAGACGTAGGCTAGTCGATGATTTCCAGCGCGGCACATCTATCACCCCACCAGTACTCTCCCCTGCCAATCCTGGACCAGATCCCGAAAGAAAAGACGGTCGTTGTCCAGGCCCCTTGAGGGGTAACGGGTAACGGGGCCTATGTCTGGAGCCTTCCGGAATTGCTTGGTCGCGGCCTAGCAAGAGTCGAATTGGGCAACAATCTTTGGCTGGTCACGTGCCGCATCAGATGACAACACGCTGCTCTTGAGGCCCCGTCGCGCTCGAGAACCCGTCATCCTCCAGGGTCAGGCTAACAAAACAAACCACATACTTCATGCGAAGTCGGGGCTCGTCTCTTGGAGGCCCGCTATTGTCAGCATGGTACTCCATGGAAGAAGCCCGTGGGTTTCTTTGACATCAATGTCGATTCGCTTCGCGACTTCAGCAGATGCACTGGCTTAGTGGGGCGCTGCTCTTCTACGCACCATCGACATGCGCAATGCATGGTAAGGATGCTGAAGGTCACTTTCGCACTATAAAGGCTCAGGTCTCTTCCGCCCCCCCAACCATTCTGTGACAGTTCAGCAACGCCTCTGTTGCCCCACCTGTCTCAACAGTACATGACCAGCCTTGGCCCGCTAGCCTTGGGCTTCTGAATTGGTTTTGTTGTATGGATTTGCACTTCGTAGTTCGTAGAACCCAAGTGATTGGTTTCGGGGGTGTTTGTTTCTAGTTCGCTCCGGGTTATCACGATTCCGAAACTCTTGCCACGCGTTGTGTATGTTTGCTGCTTCGTCCGATGCATGTCCAGGCGGAGAGTTCAGTAAGAATGTGCATGTGCGGTACGAGTTACGATACAGCATGCATGAGTCCCGTAACTTATGCCATGGCCCAAGTCTTCTGCCTTCAGCCACCCTCAACCATGATCGATGTTGCATGTTGTTTTCACACTTGTGCTCTTTTAGAACTCTCGCTAAAGCGTGAACAGACCTCTCAACCTAGGGGTGTTCTTAGTTCGCTTCGTGCCTTCACGATCCCGCGACCCGTGCCACGTACTGTTTATGTTTGCTGTTTCGCTCGTTGCAGGCCCAGGTGGGGAGGTCAGTAACAATGTGCATTGTGTTGTTGGGAAGGTCGGCATGCATATCCTAGAGGTGTCGTTTGTGCACGTCCGGGCACGAGAGATCTCGGAATATTGTATTTCATATGTATGAGATATATGTATAGGTTGTGTGAGTGCGTTTGTTGGCCCTTCCCCCCATCCCTCGGGTCCCCCTCATCATGAGAACGACCGATGTGCACGTAGACATGTAAAACTACATGTATATGTATACACACGCATAAACATACATGTATACACATACATATACATACATATATTCATACATATATCGATGAGAGAGAGGGAGAAAAATAACGAAAAAATGAAACTGAACGAACGAGAGAGAGAGGGAGAGAAGGAGAAGCAGAACGAACGAGAGAGGGAGAGAGGGAGAGAAAGAAAGAGAGAGAGAGAGACAGAGAGAAAGAAATGAATAAAGAAAGAAAGGGTGAATAGGAGAGATGACGCTCTGCATTATTACACTCTCTGCTCAATATGGCAAATGGCGGCCGCGGGAGTGATGGATGACGTTCTGGATGCAGACTCTTGTCAGACATGGCTACAATAATGGCGTCGATGACAGCGGCGGCAGCAACGATGATGACGCCCGCGAGACGGCGGCCACTTGAGCAACGAGTGAATGCGTTGATTCTCTAGTCCACGCTTGCGCTAAAGGATCCTGAGTCGGTTGAAAAAGTTGCGCGGGTTTGCCCGGGTTTCGCAACGCTGATGTTTGCGTCGCCTCGCGGACGCTCGTGGGCCGAGAGTACAGTACGGCACTCCCCATGGTAGCTTCCACCGCGTAACCCACGCCACAAGACTGTCATTTTCAACTCGCGCCGCATAGCTTACACGACATGGCTTACACCACAGAGCGTTCCCCCCTTCACCCCACGAGTTCTAGATTGGCTCGTCCTTCAGGCTGATCGGGGATTGTGTAGCCTTAGGTAGCCCCGCCGCCGGCCAAGACTCGATCACGCTACGCACACAGGACTCCTCAACCTCCTTTTCCCGATCCTTCTCTTCCTCCGCTGTCTCCACCTTACCCTCTTCCTCCATCCTCTTCATCCTACTCTTTATCGTCATCGTCATTGTCAGCATACCAACGACCATCATTATTCATCGTTCTCTTCTTCACCATCATCATCAGCATCATCAGCATCAGCATGATCATGATTATAATCATAATCATGATCAGCAGCAGCATCATCCGCACCATCATCATCACCACCACCACTGCCACCACCATCATCACCAGCATCCGCAACATCATCAGCATTATCATTATCATCGTCTTCAGCCTCCCCCTCATCATCAGCGTATCGGCATCCTCCTCCGCCTCCTCCTCGTCATCGTCATCGTGATCATCATCAACATGTTCAACAGCACCATACCCGTCATCAGCATCAACAGACCCATCTTCATCACCATCGTCATCATCATCAGCATCATCCTCTCCCTCCTCGTGTTCATCATCATCCCAATCTTCCTATCTCTCATCCACCTCATCCCTTCTGTTTGCTACGCTTCGCAGTATCTGGCGGCACGCCGGTGCCACGCAGTCTTATAACACAACAAACTGACAACCGAACCGGGAGTCTTAAATCTGTTCCCCGATGTCCGATTCCGAGACGCCTTCCGCCGATTCCGTTTTCCGCGAAACGGCTGCTTTGAGGCGCTCCGGCGCTCCGCACGGGTCGCCCATGCATCCAGAATCTATTGGGTCAGCCCATACTTGGCGAGAACTCCGACCGACCCCACATTCACTCCCACCAGCCCCAGTCTGGAGCTCGTCGGTTTGGGCCTCCTTGCAGAGGAAGCCCTCCACATTTCTTCTCCTCGGCCTCCCTGTCCTCCTCGTCCCCATCATTATCCTCCTCCTCCTCCTCCTCCTCGTCCTCATCCTCATCCTTTTCCTCCACCTCCGTTTTTTCCTCCTTCCTCATCATCATCGTCACCCGCATCATCATCCCCGCAATCATCGTCCTGTGTCTGCACTCCAGCTTTGATCCGCCGATCTCCGAACGCCAGGGCCCAAAATTTTACAGTCACAAGCCATAACAAAACTATGATTGAAATCAGAAACAAATCATTGCGCAGCAATCATCGCATGAAAATCTGGCACCTAAAAACAATCAGATATCCACGTGGTTGAATACAATAAGAAAATCACACTTCCGAAAACAACAAGACGCCCATACAATGAAAAACAAAAAGAAGTCCACAATTTAAATCAATAAGAAATCCACACAACTGAAAACAATACGAATTTCACATCCTGGGAAACAACACAAAATATTTCGAATCGAAGCAATAAGAAATCCACCAAGTGGAAACAACGAAAGTCCGCACAATGGAAAGCGATAGAAATCATCACAATTGATTGAAAACACCCAGAAAGCCACACAAACCAAAATCATTGAAAACCTGTACAATGGAAAACCATCAGAAACACATACCTTTCAAGGAACACATTCACTTAATGGCAAAAAGAAAACGCTTCACGTAGTAACAAAATGGGAACATCTTCGGTCCACCATCGCTGTGAGGCCCTAAAACAATGTAACCCGTGAGGGGGTTGAAAACAAGAGTTCAGAAAACAAATTTGGAAAATTCGGGTTTTCGGGCTGTCTGATTGGACCTGAGCGGCGGAGGGGGGCACAAATAAAAAGAATGAGAGGCTCCTTATACTGGAAAACAATCAGACATTCACACGCGTGAAAATGAAACAAAACCCGCATAACTCGAAAACAATTTGAAACCCGTGCAATGGAAAACAACAAGAAATCCATACACCTCAAAACAATCAAAAACCCACACACGCAAACACAATTGGAAATCCGTATCATGGAATACCTTCATCAATCAGCACAACTGACTTACAACAACGAGAAGCCCCTACCATTAAAACAACACGAGAACACACACTTAAAAGCAATAAAGAAACCATACGCGTGGAAGCCGTAAAAGAACGCTACATCCAAAAACGATGAGACGACATCTTCGGTCCACGGCCCGACCCCCTAAACATACATAACAACAAATCCGTGTGAGGGCTTTGTTGGAGAACATGTTTCTGGGCCGTTTGGCTGGGCCTGGGTGGGAGAGGGGGGATCAGAGGGGGAGCGAGAATGCCGAACACGTATCGTGAGAATGTTCCTGTTGCCCTCACACTGGTTGTATGCATGTTTGTTCGTATTAGTTTTAGCTTTTTGGTGGGGGTCCCACAGGGGTCGGTAAGCTAACACGCTGTCGTCTTGTTTATTGTGTGTCCAGTTGCCTTTTTTTTTAGGTCTGTTTTCAAGAGTGTGGTTTTCAAGCGCAGTGGTTTCTCATTGTTTTACTGTGTATAGATTTGCTATTGTCGTCAAATGTGTGTGGGCTGCGTGTGGATATGTTATCGGTCCCCAGTGTATGGATTGTGTTTGCTGTTGTCCACTACATGGATTTCGTATTGCTGTTCACTGCCTCCCCCAACCCCCCACCTACTCCGCCAAGATCCCACCAAGCAGCCCGGGAACCGTTGATGTTATGTTTGCTAAGATGTTCGCAGGGCTTCGTTTCTATAAGGTTAAGGTGTGTCCGATTGGTCTCATGCTAAGACATTCTCCTTTGTTTTTCTTGTAAAATATGCCTAGTTATTTTAATGGCGTGTGTATCTCATGTTTTCAAATGTGTAGATGTTAAGTGATGCTTACTCATTGGTTTAAAATGTTTGGGTTCATTGGTGTGTGTAGTTGCGTGGGCGTCGTATTGTTTCCAGATGTACGGATGTCTCGCTGTTTTCCATTGTACGGGTTTCGGAGTGGCTCCAAGTGCGC